TGGGACTCATTTCAAGGAAGAACTTCCTGTTGGGACTCATTTCAGGGGAGAACTTCCTGTTGGTTTCTCTTCTCAAATACTCGAACAACATTTTCATCTTTAAACATTTAAACATTTTCACATTTGTTCCAACGATGAAAACTGGAGCGGTTCTGAGACCCGTGAGTCAGAGGGTTCAAGGTTCTTTGTTTGTCATTCACACCACATGTGGTACATGAGGTGGAATGAAATTATGTTCACAGGGTCCCAGTTACATCCAACAAAAATATAAAATGTAAAATAAAAACGGTAATAAGATCAAAGATATGAACTAAGAAAAACATCAACTAAAAATATGCTAAACACTAACAACATAAAAACATTACCTCGAACAGCAGCACGAACACGAGTCTGTGTGAGCAGATGAGCATGCATGAACACAGCAACATGAAACTGATCAGCAGCAACATGAAACAGATCAGCAGCAACATGAAACAGATCAACAGCAACATGAAACGGATCAGCAGCAACATGAAACAGATGAGCAGCAATGTGAAACTGATCAACATCAACGTGAAACTGATCAGCAGCAATGTGAAACATCAACGTGAAACTGTTCAGCAGCAACGTGAAACTGATCAGCAGCAACGTGAAACTGATCAACATCAACATGAAACTGATCAACATCAACGTGAAACTGATCAGCAGCAACGTGAAACTGATCAGCAGCAACGTGGAACTGATCAGTAGCAACATGAGACTGATCAACAGCAACATGAGACTGATCAACAGCAACATGAGACTGATCAACAGCAATGTGAAACTGATCAGCAGCAATGTGAAACTGATCAGCAGCAACGTGAAACAGATCAGAAGCAGCGTGAAACAGATCAACAGCAACATGAGACTGATCAACAGCAACGTGAAACTGATCAGCAGCAACATGAAACTGATCAGCAGCAACATGAAACTGAGCTGGACTCATCGTTGTTTGTGATGCATCCCACCACCTCTGTTTCATCTGCAAACTTTACAATAGTCCACCACATGAAGCTGCAACGTCACTTCAACATAAACATCTACAGCTCAAAGACAATCACTACATCAAGTTCCTTCATTGTGTTTTCAGAAATGTTACGAGACGTCTGTCCCACATACAACACGTAGAGCAACACATGGGGGAACACATAGAGCAACACATGGAACACACAGAATAACACGTAGAGCAACACATGGAACACATAGAATAACACATAGAGCAACACATGGAACACATAGAATAACACATAGAGCAACACATGGAACACATAGAATAACACATAGAGCAACACATAGGGTAACACATAGAGCAACACATGGAACACACACAACACGTAGAGAAACACACGTGGTAACAGAGCAACACATGGAACACACAGAATAACACATAGAGCAACGCATAGGGGTAACACGTAGAGCAACACATGGAACACATAGAATAACACATAGAGCAACACATG